TGATTACCACTAACACATATTAATTCTTTAGTAAGACTTGAATGTATATATACACCACACCCACACCCACACCCTGACACCAATCTGAAGAAAAATCAATCATAAAATTGAGATTTTTGTTTTTATATGTCTATTATTATATGTTGTTGTATATGTCGTTACATTATGAAACGTTTTCGAGGAAAAGATCTAATCCATAGGTGGACTTGTTTTTTTTTCTAATTGTTTCGTAGGATTAGTACAATAATAGATGATTCTGAAGGAATTATTGGGGTTATTGGAAAATGTCGAAAGAGGAGAATGTTCAAAGAGGAAAATGTCGAAAAGGAAAATGTCGAAAATGTAAACATTAAAATACGAAAGGAAAGAAAATTATGAGAAACAAATATATCGAATAATTCATCAGATGTCAGTAGAAAATTCAATGTATTTATTTGTATTGGTCACCCATCGACTAGCGCATTTTATTTTTCAATGAATGCAGATTTTTTTTAATAATAAATATATATAATTTAAATGACCACAAAAACAAGTTCTGTAAATGATTCATCTAACACTCAGCAGTTTGAAATATTGTTCGCTACATCAAATAAAGGCAATCCATTGATAATATGTGATAATCACTTGTTCAGATGCAATAAAACAACAGCATTAAACAAATATTGGATGTGTATGGAACATGGTTGTGGTGTATATATACATTCAAGTCTTACTAAAGAATTAATATGTGTTAGTGGTAATCATAATCATTCAGCGAACCCTGATCAACTTGAAGCAAAACTTTTACGAGATAAAATGAAAGAACGAATATTAGCTGAAACAACACTCATCACAAAAATATATGACGAGGAAGTTGTGAAGGCAAATCTTTCAAAAGGGGCAACCGCAATCTTACCAACTGTCGTTCAATATCGTACGTATCACTAAGCACATAAGTAAAATAATTCACTTAAAATATTTTTTTTAATATTAAGGATCCAATATGAGTAAACCACGTAGAAAAAATACACCTGTGATACCATCAAACATTGTGTTTGATATACCAGAATTATATCAACAAACACTATCTTCTAAACAATTTTTATTAATAGATTTATTTATAAAATGTGGTAAAGATCGAATTCTTGTATTTTCAAGTGATCAACAATTAGAATTATTATTTAAAAGTGATAAAATTTTTATGGATGGTACATTTGATACAACACCAGCTCATTTCAAACAAGTGTACTTGATACATGCTCATAAATTTGGTCAAGGTATGTAATAAATTATTTATAATATCTCGAATGGTTATATTAGTACTCTTTCGTGACAGCATTACCAGTAGCATTTTGTCTTTTACCAAATAAACGTGCCAAATCATATACAGAGTTAATTGAATAATTAAAAATACAAGCTAATTTTATGGGTAAACAATTCCATCCACAACGTGTTATAACAGATTATGAACCAGGCTTAATGCCTGTTTTAGAACAAGAAGTGAGCCTTTATACTTTCACGATAAGTGTTTAACATGTCTAAGGTATTGATTTCTTTAATTAGTCTCCTACTGCAGTCCATCATGGACGTATGTATCACTTCAATCAAGCTATTCATCGAAAGATTAAGGATTTAGGTTTGGTAAATGATTATTTACATAATGAAACTATTCGTGATCAATGTCGTCAACTTATGACTTTAAGTCTTATGTCGATTAATGCAGTGGAGAATCAATTTCAACGTTTACAAACAATTATGTCAACATCGTTAAGTGATTTATTATTGTACTTTAAACATCAGTGGATGCATGGTGTTGTTCCGATTCGTATGTGGAATTTTCATAACGTTAACCATCGAACGAATAAGACTTCAGAAGGTAAGAATATTGCTGTTCTCTATCTATTTCATTTTCGAAGTTACATCTTGCATTATTTGTATTTCAGCTTATAACCTTCGATTTGCAACTAGATTGTCAAGAAAGCACCCAAATATTTGGAGCTTTATACAATTAATTCAAAGTGAACATATTCGTTTTGAACATATTTCAGCATAACTTGATGCTGGTGCATCAGCTCCACATCAATCGAAAAACACAAAAGCTTTTCAAATGAGATTTGATACCCTTCATGATCGATTTCTAAAGAAGGAAATCAACGCAAATGAATTATTATCAGGTTTATCATTGTTAATTGGAAACAAAAAAAAATGAAATTTTATTATACTGTCAGCATTGTCTTTTTTTCTATTCTACATTAATAAAACAGCATTTCTTATGCATAACAAGAATATAAATGTAATCATTTCTATCTTTTTTTCAAGTTGTTAAGATTTTCGACATTTTCCTCTTCGACGTTTTCCTTTTCGACATTTTCCCTTTCGACGTTTTCCTCTCTTGATATTTTTCGACATTTTCCACCAAGACCGAGTGTGGTGTGTGGGATGTAGGTGGGTGTGAGTTGAGTAAATATGAACATCCACAACCACCCACATCCACACCCACACCCAACAATGTGATTTCCAAGGAAAGCTATGGCACAAGCAAAGTAACCATCCTACAGTTTCGCGAATGTCTTGTACAGTCTTTACTTCTTGGTACATCATTTGAGAACCTAAAATCTGGCCGCAGAAAGCAATCAACACGATATTTGAAGCTTAGACTCACTGATAACAAGCTACAAGAAATAGAAGGACCTGGCGCAATGTCCGAAGAGGATGTGTTGGTTGCTACAAAAAAATCAGAAAATAAGATTCAAGAAAAGCAAGTGCGATGGCAGCAAAAAGAATAAAAACCTTTTTTTGTTCTGATTTCGACAAATTCTTTTGGCTTAATTGTTTTAACGAAAAGCGTTTCTCTACATAATAAAAGGATTGAAGCATTAGCGATGGCGGTATAAGTGCGAAACTCACCGTCGCTCTTTTCTTAGGAAAGAAAACGGAAATAACCAATTTTTTTCTCATTTCTCTCGTAGAATATATCGTGAGCCACTGGTGGCTCACATCGGGGTCGAATGTGTTAATAATTGTAAAAACATGTTCTTTTTATTTCAAATAGCTTTCCAAGATTACAAGACAGTAATGTAAGCTCTTCTTTTCGCCAGTTTGACCCAGACTTCTTTTGGTGAAATAGTTGTTTCATCGACAAACTCGAATTTACTTTCGAGGTGTTCACCTGGTAGAATTGTATAGTTGCGAAGCAGTCTTGTTAAGAAAATCTTCATCTCAGTCAAGGCGAAGGACTTTCCAATGCAATGTCGTGGACCTGCTCCAAACGGTAAGTAAGCCATGGGATGACGTTTTGTTAGATGACGTTCGGGAACGAAGAGGTATGGATCATCTGGACCCCACAGGTCGGGATCGAAATGAACCGAATACACGTCTGCATAAACTATTGAACCTAAAAGAGATAAGAAGTGTTAAAGTCGACGAACAATTTTCTCCGTGAGAAGAGAAGAATGAGTAAGCAGATGAGATTACCACACACTTAATTTCTTGAATATTTGCGTTTTTGTGCATCACAAGTATGCTAGAGACTACTGAATAGTTTATAATTAGAGAAGCTCGTCCTCTTTCCAGTCGATAGATCACAATCTAAGCTGGTTCTCTTATAACTTTTATTGACGTATATAGAATGGAAAACCGAATCTTCATGATGAAAAGTGTAAAAAAATCTTAGATCTCACTAAAACAGTACGCTGTATACGATTATTTAAACAAAACGTTCTGCGAACGTAGTTCGAACACAGCTGCATTAACTTTTCGGACGATCTAAGTGCTATTATATTCCCGATCTCATTCATGATTCGAGAAGATCGAAACTTATTTGTAACATAAATGTATATAATTACCTTTATCGATCTTGATTCCTTGTACAACGGTATCTTCTAGGGCGCGTCTTTGGGTGGCGAAATTCGCATTAGGATACATTCTTAAGACTTCAGAAACGAATAGATCCATGTAAGACATCTTTGTGACGGCATCATAGTCAGGATATTTATTTGTTTCATCGTCAACGTTCTCACCAGTAGACAATGGAAGTTGATCAATCTCAGCGTGGAGTTTCTGGAGGACGTCGGGATGTTTGGCAAGTTCATAGGTAGCACATGCCAAAGCAGCCGATGTTGTTTCGTACCCGGCTGTCATAAAACTAACAATGTTGCCCACAACTTCGTCTTGGCTGAGATGATGGTTTACCTTGCTATCATCTGTTGTATCCTACGGAGAGAGACAGTTTCATGATTGTCTGATGATTACCTGTCTGGCAGTCGCATAGATCGAAACGCAAGTTCTAATATGGTTTTTATTGGTATGTAATTTTCAAAATAGTATAGCTAGCAGAGAGGAAAAGTAAACTCTTGGAAATCCCGAGTCTCTAAGAGCACAGTGAAAGTTACGAAAGTACAGTGAAACCTCACAAAAATGGCAAAAACGTAGGAAATGTAGTGATAATATTTGAGGTATTATTTGAATTCCATAAGTACGTTATAGAAATGTATCAAATGCATTAGAAATATGAATTCTTCTCATGCACGCAGAGTACCATTTGATTTGCCGGAAGCTTCTAATTGCATTCCAGCAATCAAAGCAGTACACATATTTAGAAAATAGATTACAAAAACTCCTCTCGCAATAAGTTTCTCGAGCGTCGACGAATGAGAAAACCAATAGAAAAATCAAAAGCTGAAACATATCCATCATCAACCGCCAACGAATGGAGAGCAGATGATATGCGTATTGCATGATTTTTTTTATAGATCTATTGGAACCGAGAAGAGGTGCTTGAATGTTAGTAATCTAGTATTATTTGCCTTGTACACTTACTTCTGTCAATTTTATTTTCACAACCCACTGAAAAATTTTCGCGATTTTAATCGGATTTTTGTGCAACAAAATCAAAATTATAATTGATTGATAATTTTGATTATTGTTGATCATCACTTAACTATTACTTGGTGTTGTTACTTATCCGGTATGGAATTTTCCGATTAAAATCGGATGATTTTGTAGCAAATCCAGGATTATCAATCGATTAATAATTTCGATTATCCTGTAAAATAAACAGATTTCAATCAGAAAATTTCATACTGAATAATTAACAATGTCAAATAATAACTTAGTTGTGATCAAAAATAATCAAGATTATCAATCTATTATAATTTTGATTTTGTTGCAGAAAAATCCGATTAAAATCACGAAAATTTTTCAGTGGGAAAAATAAGAAAACCACTATCAAACGGGTTAGAAAAGACACTAGACAGTAAAACTTGTAGAGAATGTAAAGAATTCATGATTTTTCAAGGACTTTGAGGAAACTCAGAAGATTCAATTATCATCTGAATAATCGTCTCTATAAATTTGATTGGAGGTTTGTCTTCTTTAAAACTATGCCCTCCGCATCATCTTCCTCAGATGAATGTTTCAAAGCAATATCCGGTCTTCTCAAACACTATTCAAGTTCTACTGATATCTATGAGCAAAAACAAAATTCTACATGGAAGGATCTGTAGTGCTCTATCCGTTTTCGACTAACAAGACGAGTCTACTGAATCGTGTGAGACATTGCAAAGTATAATTTTTCTTCCTTTTATTTTGAACTAGTAGCACCCTACTTTCAGTTATCGAGACTGTTCGCCAGTGGAAAGGAATTGGTCGTGCAGAGAGCTTACTTACTGTGATTGTCTCTTTTGAAATCGTCTGTAGCATCAGGTGCAAGAGATCAATTCGTGCGATGGGTGTCTGTTGACGATGTTCGACAATCGTGTGAACTCGATTGTTGAGCCACATAACCGGCATTTCTTTTAACTGTATTGTCGACGATATCAGAGGCAGAAGTCGCGTGTTAATAAATGTACGTGCGCTAGCATTGAAAGACAAAAGTCGAGAAAGAATAGCGCCAATCTGAGGCACCACTTGAATGCATTTGAATAGGAAAATTTTATTGAAAGCAGTGCTCATAAAGTGTTCTATTATCTTTTCGAAATAGATGTTGTTCGGATTATTTTGTGCATCAATATCAATTCCGAATGCACAACTACCTAAACGGTCAAAAAACGAGAATGGTAACGAATTTTATTACGTTTTACAAAGTTTTTCATTTTTTTTTTCTGTATTGAAACTATCTCAGAGCATCCTTTTGCACGTCTTGAGAAAAACTGAGGCAGAATAATATGGGCTTACAAAAAACATCCATTGTCAGTCGTTTATAGTACAAATAGATGTTGAATTCATCACTGCTTTCTACATGATTAGATAGTTTTTCCATCAGCCTAGAGATACATTCATCGACAAGAGGGCTCATTGCTTTCAGTTTTCCGGCAGTAAATGCTGGGTTGAACACATGACGTTGGCGACGCCAGTTTGCACCAGCCTCGAAAAACATCGCAGAAATTACTTTATCGAACGCCGTAACTTTTCGTGCATTGAACACGGAAAACTGTTTGACAAAGACTTCTTGTAGAAAATCAGGATCACTAACTACGAACATCGGATCATGGCCCTCATAGATTCCATATATTTTGCCGTACTGCTTTGTCCAACTTTCAAGCTGACGATGATATGCCGGAGCACTCCACAATGTTCGTAGATGGCCAAAGAAAAACTGGAAACGTGGCGTGGGAATCCCACGCTGGCGAAAGAATTGATAACGTTGTTGAAGTAGAAAGAGATAGTAGGCCAAGAGCAAAATGAATGCCGAAAACAAGATAAGAGGTGCTAACAACATGTTGTGTCTTATCTTCTTTACTGACTGGCACGACGATTAAAATACTGAAAGAAAAACAGAGTATACAGTCCCCAGAAATATATGTAATAAAAAATGTCTTATAGAACATTGTTGTCTATTTGTGCTCTTTATATTCGTGCATTCTGTGTAGGTTGTTTTGCTCGTTCTGTAATAAACGAAAGTAAATGATTCGTTCACTGTAAATAAAAGTACGATACTAAACACTTGGACTGCTACGAAACCTACAAAGGGTCCGGTTTTTGAACGAAATCCGAACCATCTAAGGTTTTTTAGTCAAAAAAGAAAAGCTTTGAAAATGCTTTTTCGACCACTCACAATCATAGTGAGGTATGCAGGGTTTTTTACGGAACCTTTTTCAAAATTTCTATTTTCAACAAAAAACAGTTCGATATAAAATCTGACTGTTGTATAGTGCATGAGCTTATTACTACGATACTGACTCAAGTAGAAACATCGTTCTAATGAACTGTTCTTTTGCAAAATAAAAAAAATGGAATTGTTAGCCTCAGTAGATGTCACTCACTGACGCTAAACGTTTGTGTTATTAGTTATGTGGTATTACACCATATGTTGGATGACCAATACTACTTAGACTCACGTGATCGATTATCACATATACGTGTATATTGTTCGTTTTCTTTTTTTTCTCTGGTTTTTTTTCATGATTTAGTTCAACATTATCGTTCTTGTTGTCATATTCTTCTAGAATACATTTCATTATTAATTCCATCAACATCTTGTTTCACATATACATCAATAGCTACAGTACGATCAATGTATGTAAGCTAAAGATTCATATATGCTATAGTGATAGGCTCTATGATATAGTCCCCAAGACCGCACTGTAGAGCTAACAATTGGTGGAGAAATTGAATTCTTAAATATAAAACAAAGAAAAAAAATTTCTTTCGTAGATGATATTATCATCTATAATTTTTTTTCTCTTTTTTTCTTTTCGTTTTTGACTTTAACTCATTATACTCCGTATATATAAACTTTTTTGTTTCTTTCGTTTGTATCTATTCTTGTACATTAACTATATACGTTGAACTAATATTGTTACGTTATTATGCATAAATCTGCAACACTAGACTCGTTAAATTTACAGACAACTTCTACTACGTCAGTCTTAACATCGACAACAAATCCAGATGTTAAACCTAATTCTTTTTCTAAACCATATAGTCGTATGGCAATTCTTCCTACACCGAATCGACCAGTTAGATTATTAACATCTGCTAAAATTCAATCTTGTATTAACGAAGGTACATCAATGATAACTACTAATGCAGATACAGACAAACATCTTGATTCAGATCATAAAATTCATTTTTTACTTGCTAGTGAACAAAATTCATCAGAAGTATTGAATAAAGTTGAAAATCCATTGAATCAAGAAGATCAGAACAAAGATGAAGAAAATGAAGATAATTTATTTGATACATTTATTTGTAGTAATTTTGTTCCTTTTTCTGGAACGCAAGCAATCGATCAATGGTTAGATGAAACAGATGCTTTATTTACTCGATTCAAAATTTCACGTAAACTTCGATTTAAAGCTGTATCTCTTCTTGTCCAGGGTGAAGCTAAACGTAAATATGTAAGAAATCGTCAATATATTACATCTTTTGATGATTTTTACAAATTTTTGTTAACACATTATGACACAATTCCTTTAGTATCTAGTAGTTCAAACCCTAGTTATGTTGATCCTATATCTGATTCTGCGAAAAATACTGTATGTGTTAGTAAATCAATTACTGAACTTAAATCGAATGTTGCTAGTTCGATTGATTCTAGTCAAATATCACAGTCATGTGTTTGCCGTTCTAATCATACTGTTGCTAATGACACCACTAATGTAAATAGTGATATGTCAGATCTTAAATCAACTGGAAAAAATTCGTCTTACGACACTCTACCATTAGATTCAGTTATGACTGATTTACGTAAAGCAATTGTAGCGGGTTTTATTAAAAATCCGAAAATTTTTGGTGGTAATAAAGATGATGTGACAAAATGGTTAGAAGAAATTGATCATCTTGTGCAAATCACACATGTTCCTGATTCAAATCGACTCGATTTGATCTCGTACTCTTTAAGAGGGGATGCTCTTCAATAGTTTAGAAATAACAAATCTACATTGACTAGTTGGACTATACTTATTACAGGAAATCAAAAAAGCTTTTACATCAACATTTTGTGAAAAGTTAGCTTTTAAAACTCTCGAATCATATACACAAGATAAAAATCAGTCACTTCGTAATTTTTATAATGAAATTTTAAAGTTGTGTAAACAAGCTGATGCTAGTATGAGTGAATCAACTAACGAGGGAACCTTTCGAAGTGATTCAGCGCTTTTGAGCTCATATTTTGGACATATAGGCAGGACCTCTAGACTAGAATAACCCTAAAGGGATTCGGGCCCATAGGCCTCCTCTACAGAGTTATAGCCATTTTACTTCAGNCAGAAGATGGCAGTATAGAAAAATTCAAGTAATTTCGTTTGCATTGGTAATTCGCTGACCAATGCATTTTATTTTCCAATGAATCAAGAAAAGTTCTTAATAGTAAATAAAATATATCCTAAACATGGATGCACCTATAGTCTTTGAAGATACTTTATTAAAGAGTGAGAAAGTTGAGATTTCATTTGTTACCTCGAATAAAGGTAATCCATTAATTCTATGTGATAATTACTTATTTCGATGCAATAAAACAACAGCTCGGAAAAAATATTGGATGTGTACTGAAAAAGGTTGTAGTGTATATGTGCATACAACTCTTAACAAGGAATTGATATGTTTAAACGGTGTTCATAATCATCTTTCAAGTCCAGAACAACTAGAAGCTAAACTTTTACGAGACAAAATGAAAGAACGAATATTAACTGAAACAATATCCATTACAAAAATCTATGATGAAGAAATAGTGAAAGCGAAGCTTTCAAAAGCAGCAGCAGCAATTTTACCAACTGTTATCGAATATCGTATGTAAAACAAGCACATTTGTAAAATTATCTATTTGTATGAATTGTTTTTAATATTAAGGATCTAATATGAGTAAAGCACGTCGAAAAATCACACCTGTTATACCATCAACTGTTATGTTCGAAATTCCAGAGTTATATCAACAAACACTTTCAAATGAACGATTTTTAACAATTGATTTGTTTCTTAAACGTGGTCAAGATAGAATTCTTGTCTTTGCAAGTGATCAACAATTAGAATTATTATTTGAAAGTGATACAATTTTTATGGACGGTACATTTGATACATCACCAGCAAATTTCAAACAAGTGTACTTGATACATGTTCATAAATTTGGCCAAGGTATGTAAGAAATTATTTATAATATCTTGAATTCTTATAATTGTAGTTTTGTATGGAAGGTTTACCAGTTGCTTTTTGTCTTTTACCAAATAAACGTGGAAAAACGTATACTGCACTTATGGAACAATTAAAAGAACAAGCTAATATTATGGGGAAACAATTTAATCCAAAACGGATTGTAACTGATTATGAACCTGGTTTAATGCCTATACTTGAACAAGAAGTAAGTATTTTATATTTAGAAATTCCGTTTAGTATGTTTAAAACTATCTCGTTTTTGTTAGTTTCCTAAAGCACTTCACTCTGGTTGTATGTTTCATTTCAATCAAGCGATTCATCGAAAAATTACAGCTTTGGGTTTATCGAATGATTATTTACACAACGAAAGTATTCGTGATCAATGTCGCCAGCTAATGGCTTTAAGTCTCATGCCGATTAATGAAGTGGAGAATCAATTTATACGTTTACAAACAATTATGTCAACATCATTAGGTGATTTACTACTTTACTTCAAGCACCAGTGGATGTATGGTGTTGTTCCTATTGAAATGTGGAATTTTCATAATGTTGATCATCGAACTAATAATACATCAGAAGGTAAGAATACTCTTCTTTTCCATTTTGTTTCAAATCATAATCGAGAATTATTTGTATATTTTAGCTTATAACCTTCGTTTCGCAACTCGATTGTCCAGAAAACATCCAAATATTTGGAGTTTTATACAATTAATTCAATGTGAACATGTTCGTTTTGAACATATATCGATACAACTTGATGCTGGAGCATCTACACCAAAACAGTCGAAAAAAACAAAAGCTTTTCAAATGAAATTCAATAATCTTCAAGAAAGATTTCTGAAGAAAGAAATGAATTGTAATCAATTACTAACGGGTTTATCATTGTTAATTGGAAACAAAAAAAAATAGTATCAACCTTATTATATATCACCATTATTTTATTTTTCACCAATAAAAGATAGCACATAATATACGCCGAAAGAATACGATAATAATTTCTATTTTTTTCGACATTTTCCTCTTTCGAAATTTTCTCTTCGCTGTTTTCCTCTTCCATCTTTTCCTTTCGACATTTTCC